CATTTTTCTAGGTCGAACCAATGCAGACCTTTGCCCAGTAGCTGCCATCATGGCCGTATTACTCCATACGTCCACCAGTGCCTGGTCCTTTTTTCGTCTAATGGTGGTTTCCCACTAAACCAGGGACAGATGGTGACAGCTGTCAGAGAGGCTCTAACCCGGGCGGGGATGGACGCTTCCCACTACTCGGGGCACAGTTTTAGAGTGGGGGCAGCAACTACTGCCGCTCAAGCTGGTCTGAGTGACGCTACTGTCAAGATGCTAGGACGCTGGCAGTCGAAGCTGGCAGTCGGAAGCATATCAGCGCTACATCGCACACCCAGAGAAAGCCTAGCTGCTGTTTCGAGACACCTGGCCACTTGACTAGTTCTGTTGGGTGTTTCATGTGGGTATTTGCAATCAGAAAGTTTGGGATATATTATTACAGTGTGGTTGTTGGCTGGATGTGTGGCAGTGGTGGTACATGCTCCATGCCCTATTAAGAAGTGACAACTGTTAACAGGGTTTAGGCCAGTGGACCTGGCACCCAAGGGTATAGCTTGCATGGCAGTGATTGACAGCTCACGTGACCACCTGTCACACGCCCCATCCGGGCTTTCGCATGTACTCCCATGACCTCTTTCTACATATCAGTAGTACTGGAGGTTAGCTATACTGTGTGTTGCACGAGACAGGTTCGACTGGCCGATCAGCTGGACAGCGTTTACGCCTTGGATGAAGGTGAATAGATGTAACATCAGGTATAGTGATACAAAGGACTTTAGCTAACGCATTGAAAAGCTAGGAAATAAGCTTAGAAGGATGATCACGAGCATGACACGAGCATTGTGACAGTAGTTGAGCGCTTTCATGCTCATACTGACTTCCATGTCTTGTATGCACCTGCAAGAGACGGCAAAAGAGTAAACTCGACAGAGTAGCGTAGGTATAGATATGTACGACACATGCAAGTACTCTGTATGACTGTGCTAAGTCTAAAATATGGCCGCTACTAGAGAGAAAAACTGTGCTGTGCACCGCGAAGTTACACACTATAGATCGCACTACATCGCAATAGTCTCACACACGCTCCCGTATCACTGCTGTTTGACTGCAGTAAGTATTAGATATCATCTACTGTCCATGGAGCCTTTTCTCAACTTCTTATGTACTATATTTTGTGAGCCAGCTGCTCCTAAAAAGAAAGGTCAGGGTTCAAAGCTTTAGTCTTCAAAACGGCCGCTTTACGCAGCGAAAACACACATTCATGCACGTATTTACCTTTGGTACTGTCCCAGCATCACTCTCTCGATCTGCATCTGCAACAAGTCTCTGTGCTAGCTATAAGGCAACAAACTCCCGAGAGAATCACACGAAGCGTCTTCCCCACTACACGCAGAAAAAACTGCCGACCGTGCAATAAATTTCGCACATGCGCGCGTCGTCCGCTAAGAGCTAGCTAAGGCGGATTTATCGCGTTAGCGCGTAAGCTAAAGCGTGCGTGCACTAAACGGGTTTTTCCCATTTGGCGCACCATATTATAGTTCACACGTATGTGGCAGCAAACTCAGCTAGACACATGGAACTAAGCTGCTGTGGTCTCTGTTGATATCTATCATTGAGGCTCTTCTGAACACATTAGTATCATTGTCCTCTAGTTTGTTAAGGGATGCATTGTCTTTCAATTCTCTAATTTTTGGGGTAGTAGCAAACAAACACAACAGATCTGCTCAACTGCTTCATTGGCAGCGATAGTAGTCTATACACAGCTTCTTGTGCACTATGTATGTGTGTGTTAGGAATGCTGAACCATTTAATTCATCAGTTTAGCTTCAGCAGCTACACGTTTCAAGAGCTCACCCATGGACCTGTCTGTTTTCATCATATATGAGGCTACATACATGATACATGCATAGCATTTAACACAAACTGAATGTCCATGTTAGCTTGCCACGCTAGCATCACTGAGGGCTGTATATAGTTGTCAATGAAATAGTACCACAACATTGCCATTAGTGGACACTTCTAATGCATCTTTCTCAGTGACTTCTGCTTTGCCGAGTAACTCAGCAATGCTCAAATCTGTGCTACCGTCGCTTTTGTACTTTACCCAACGCAGGCAATTCTAGTTATTGTTGCCACGCTTAGGATCATCTTTCGTAATGAGGGTTTTGGAACTAGGAGGCTTAGGAAAACTGAATGGACATGTTTTGTTTCTCCTGCAATATATGAGGACTGTTTGTGATTTTGAAGGAGTACTAGGTCTTTCAATTTGCTACCTTCCACTGGGACTATACATGGTCAAAACACATCATAATTGTTATCTACACCAAACTCTGGAGCATCTTTGATGTGGTGAACCTCTGGCCTGAAACTCTATTCTGATGGCATAGTCAGCAATTTCACCAAGGGTTTGGCAGTTGATTTGAAAAAGTCTTGGAAAAAACACATTTAGCCGGTTAATGAAAATGCCGTGTTGCAGTAACAGGGTTATGCTGACTTCTCGTCATATGATAACACTGCAACCTCATCATCAGTATAATGGACACCATACTCTCTAGCAATGGTTTGAGGCCACTTGAGATCTGCTGCTGACAAATGTGATTTAGTTGGTGTGCCAAGCTGGCACATCATGGCTAGCAAATCATAAAATGTACGCTGGTAATATGGCGGTGAACCACATAAAGGAATAGGATTGTCTTCTTCACATACTGGCTCAACACAGTCTAATCTCTAGCTTGTGCTGCTGTGAACTGTCTAGAGGGTAGAGGGCTTTGTCTCCAGGCAAATTTATTACCATCAGCTTGGCTTCCACAATGTACTGGGCAACGAACAGACAATCAAGGTCTCTAGAAAATCTGCCATCAACATCCAACAGTCTCTGGTTGAAATATTCCTATAGGTTAGCTTTTAGGCCTTTCACTGCTAAATGTACCATTAGCAAAGGTAAACTTATCAGGATTAGACATCGCTTCAAAGTTAGAGTCTGTCATTATATTGAGTGGTTTCTCTCCCTCAGCTGGTGCTACACAAATGATTTCTCTAGAAGTCTCAGGATTATCAACACACATCATGGCATAATACTAGCCATAGGATCACCACTGATCTGCCTTCTATGCTCATCTCCTTCCTCTATTGTGGCATCATCTAGGCTTTCATATGCTACTCTCATTCTCATGCATTCTCTGAATTGGTACTTGGTTGCTCTGACACTGTTGTACTCTCCCCACTATGTTGTACACTGGCACCACAAACAGGAAGTTTGTCTAGACCAACATAGTGATACTGCATGATAAGGCAAACAAAGATCTCACACTCAGCACTACAGCAGTGAGGGGTTACTGAAAACATGGGATGGTTGCTAGATAGAACACTGAGCATATGAGCAATTGTTTGCAGAGTTATATGGTCACCCCAGGCTCCCTGTCTTACACATCTCACATATTTCTGCCATATACGCTCAGTTTGCAATTGAGGGTCAGCTACACTGTTTATGTACTCATCTTCAGCAGTAGGATGCTCTGTGTTTGCATTAGTCATCATCCTCGAGGGTACAGGTTGGCACAGGGGAAATCACGATATAAAGCGGCATTTGCTTCGAGTGGTCAGCTACTTTATGTCTCATTTCACTACTGTCAGCATTACATACACCGGCATTCTTAAACTGATATGATACAGCACTGAACATCCATCTACCATCATAATTATGACACCTCATGAATATTAAAACATTTCACACTGGCCAATGCTTTTAGCTGACTTACAGCTATTGACAGTCCATTGGCTCAATTTCCACATTTATAACCACATTAGAAGCACAATAACCATCATTCTTGTATCAACTTTTGACGGGACATTCACTGCTGGACCATAGATTGACCTTTGTTTACCAGATGGGAGTGCTACCGTTTCCATGAAGGGCACATGAAGGGAAATCTCTCAATTGCTATGTATTGTGGCCAGGTGGTACTTCATTTAACTGTAAACCATTACATTAGCCTTTGCTTGCAATGACATGGAACCCCTCACAAGATGTATCACAGGACTTACACATCCACTCTCTACCATCAATGCTAATGTAGCTGAGATCAGCACTGAACACCTTCTCAAGCACATCAGGACAAGCTTTTGTGAATTTGGGTTTATTACACTGAACTACACTCTTTCGGTACATCATACGATGGCAACATGTGCATACAAAATCTGGCCCACTCTTTACATCTGAATGAAATGCAGAAATGCCACTTTCTAATGGTGCACATCTCTTTCGTCTACTTGACAAACATTCTTTGTTGGTTTGTTTTCTAAGATCTGGTGTTTCATACGCTTTCTTGGATTCTTTACACAGCCTATCCATTACTTTCCTATGCACCGTCTGCTGAGGCGCTTCCAAGGCTCTCTTCGATTCATAGCCTATCCATTTTTTGCTTATGCAACGTCTGCTGGGGAGTTTCTGACGCTTTCTTGGATTCTTTACGCAGCCTATCCATTTCTTGCCTATGCAACGTCTGCTGAGGCGTTTCTGACGCTTTCTTGGATTCTTTACGCAGCCTATCCATTTCTTGCCTATGCAAAGTCTGCTGAGGCTCTCTTGGTTTCTTATGCAATCTATCCTTTTTCTGCCTCGTAAAAGTTTCCTCCAATGTTTCAGACGCCCCTTTGCATATTCTGTCTTGCTCTTTTCTTGCTAATTCATCTTGCTCCGACTCTAACGTTCTTCTACACTTCATTGCCTCCCTTTTGGCAATGTAATGCACCTTTCTTTTAGATGGAAGGCATGCCCGCATCCGCAAACGGCTCGTTTGACGTGCAACGTGGTGTCATACTGCGGACATACCTTCCTCAGAAGTATGTCACTTTCCATGATACTCCTCCTGCTGCTGCACAATCCAACTAAAAAACGAAAGTGGCTGCGTGTCAATATAAAATATACACTATTCTCTCACTATTATTCCAAGAGACTGATCGCTCCACAACTGCTGCTGCACCGCTCCGACTTTCCATCTGCTGCTGCACCGCTCCAACTTCTCCGACTGCTGCTGTACCGCTCCAACATACTTCGACTGCTGCTGCACCACTCCAACTTCTCCGTCTGCTCCAGCACGTTCTCTGCCGCCCGATCCAACTAAAAACCCACGTAAATATACGCATGCGCAGAAACCACGTGGCAGCCTGTCCTAAGTGCGCATGCTCAAAACTCACATGGTCGCAAGTCATTATACTTCCCACAGGAGTGGGCATTGGAGGCTGACCATTCATATTCAGATAAGTTTCTGACCCCATTTGAGTAGGATTTCCCCATAAACACATGCATGACCTTTGAACCACGTGCAAAGGTTAGAAGATGGAGAAGGGTTCCTCACACGATATTCGTCACACATACTTACGTATTAAAGCTTTTGAGGCCGCCGAGTAGTCTGTTGAGGCTGCCACAGTCAGGTCACATGTCTTACTGCTGTTATCCAATATGGCAGGTCCAAATGGACCAGAGCGGTCTGTTGAGGCTGCCAGACACAGCAGTTTATTTAGTGGCAGAATCTTTTACAAAATTTTTGGGTGAGCATATTTCCCGGCGTCCACGTCGTCTCACCTGGGAGAGAATAATTATTCAATTCTCTGCTAACGGGGAAATTGATTACTAGAAAGGTGTAATGCTGTTTATTTCTGCAGCATCTCCCTTTCTATCCAGTGGGGCCAGCTGAAGAGTCCTCCCACTATAAACATAATGGACGAAAACCATCTGTGGAGGAAGCCTTCCACCGATGGTTCCTGGCTAAATCTCCACAACATCATGTTTCTCTGTCTCGTGTGATTGTAACTTCAGTGAGGAACCACACCATATCTCGAAAAGACAATATTGTTACAAAACTAGGCAGCTCCTGCCAGGAGCAATGTCCTCTTTCAAGAAGTGTGTGTGATATACAAACTCGGTGACAGTACGTCATTTTCTCTTACCATACGTCTAGCCTAATACTCTGTTACATTGATCAGGGTGTGAAATTGTAGAACCACGTATAATATATACTGCATACCACCAGGCTGTACAGAGAATGTGGCATTTGTTGCTAGCTGTTATGTGCTAGCCTAACAGAACGGTTCGTGGCAAGGGACCGCGGCCCAACACACAACAACTAACCGAACGCTTCACACTCAATCATCTGCACACAGACGGTAGAGACATACACTTATATATGCACAGGAAGTAAACAATTGACTACGTATGTGACGTGACCAACAATGAATAATGCAACGATAAAGAGTTCAGGTTACCACACTAGCCTACATTAGAGGAGGAAGTTTCCAGTGGTGGTAGAGCATGGCCGATGCGCCAAAAAGAAAAGCATATTTTTCCACAAAGTAGTAGCTACTAGCTACATCTATCATATCAGAACTTGCGTCTAGTTTGCCATACAAAATTTCTACAAGCTTACGTGAAAAGGTACAAGACAGAAATGTACGGCCAGACTGGAAGTGGAGTAGTTTTTTGGAGAACTTTCCGCTTCATATCTTTACAGTGCGGCCTGGTTCAATAATACGGCCGACAGGGAGTTTAGCAGCAGTTCTACTTTCAGCTAATACCCGACACACTACGGTAGCCCCGGAGAGAAGGGGCGCAAACGGGCTTGACGCCCGCACGGTTTACTATTATACATTACTCCACCCGCTCAGCGCACCCCCCAAACATATGAACACGTAATAGCTAACTAGAGGGAAATCCCCCATCAATACGAGCGGCATTATTTAGAGCATAGAAACTGCTGCCGATTGGTACCTGATACCTACCAGCTGACCGATTGCGAAGGGCTGCTCAGACACGCTATAGGTTCACGGTCTGTGCCGGCTAGCGTAAAAGGGCCTAATGGAGGTCTACTACTCTATTAACATGTAAGTCTGGCTGTCATTTTGTCTGGACTACATCTGTTTCATACACTCTTCTTGTCCCATAGTCATTTTTTGTGGGATGTTTCACATCCTGGAAAGTCTGGAGTTCCGCAACATGATTTATCAGGTGACAAGGATTTGCAAATTTCTCCTGGGGATTTTACTCCTACCCAGCTAAAGTATGAGCCGGTAATTACCCTCGGCGCGCATGCGCAGCGAGGGTACAGTAGTTGGGTTTGTCTGTCTGTTTGTCTGTTACTCTATATCTCACTCCTGGAACGTCTGTTCGTCCCACAAACGATCCATCTACCCAACGGGCGACGAAGGTCAGAAAATAAAGGCTGAAAATGCTCCGTTGCAAAGCTAGGGCACGAAAAAGCCAATATGCAAATACGCGACGGACGGGATGGCTTACCGCGGTCTGATCGATCCGCGACCTCGGAGGTATATACCAGAAGATGCAACGCAGGGCGTGTATCGCCTCTCGCATGCTGTCTATATAGTAGTGTAGTTAGCCCGCGTCAGACTCTGCGCGAGATGGCTAAACTAAACCCAGCCCATCAATTAGTGATGGAGCGCATGCGTTTACTCACGCGTGCGCGTCACAATGCGCCGAGGGTTTGCACTTCAGTGCTTTTCATTGTTAAAGTTTTCAAGCACTATGACATTCCTCTTGACATAACTGACGGCATTAGAGCAACATTAAGATCGAAGCTGTGGCGGATGGGTAAATTGCTTGCTAGGCTTGGTGGTACAAAGCGCAAACAGCAACTTTCGAAGTGGGAGAATGGTAATGAATCACTTTGGAGTTTTGAGGTGAGTGAAGCCAATGTTCGTAAGCAAATGCTCAAGCGAAAGCGGTACCTAGAAAAGCAGTTAAGTGAGGAAGCGGCTAAAAGAAAGAAGATCGAGGTTGAGGTTAAAGCCCTTCGTAGCACTGCAAAGCTGCAAGCTAAGGTTATATCACGGCTTAAAACTGGTAGATCAGAAAGTAGCCGTGGTTCGTCTTCCATATTATGGCACCAATACAGCAGGCAACAACAGCATAACAGGAGGAAAATGTTAGCCAGCGGCGTCACAAGTGTATTAGGCTTTTCTGTACAGCTGAAGGGACACACGTTAGAACTGGAGAATATTGATACTGGTAATGTAGAAGTTTTGGATATGCAGAGTGGTAGGCTTTCTGTTATGCCTCATATTTCCCATGTGGTGTCCGAAGAAAATGACAAAGTGCATAAGGCTCTTCTTATCAAGGACAAATGTGTCATTTCAAACAGTGCTTTTCATGAACTAAGTATGGTTTCTGATCTTCCATCATCCAACCAAGTGAAGAGGTTGGCTAGCGAGTTGAATAAAACTTTTAGTGTTGGTCCAAGTCCACATGGAATTATTGGTGTCCAGCAAAGTTTGAGAGAACGTTTATCATTTGACTCAGCTGATAAAAAGGTTTGCTGCTAAAGATAAGCCAGTCCTTACAACTTTCAGGGTTAAGCTTACTGGAGATGGCACAGAAATAGCTCGTGGATTGACACAGTTGTAAACATTGCTTTCACTATTTTAGAAGAAGGTTCACTTTCGTGTTCAGATTCTGGCAATCATAGTCTTTCCATCATGAAAATATCAGAGACATATGATGACCTTTTCCGTGGATTAAAGGATGTATGTAGCGAAGCTCGGGAACTTGATGTTTTAGTGCTTGGTGGTGTTACTTACAGAATTGAGTTTTTCCTTGTTGGTGATTGGAAATTTTTGCCAATTGTGTGTGGTTTGGAGTCTGCCACATGTCAGTATGCTTGTATTTGGTGCAAGTGCCCAAAGCAGTAACGATTTGATATGACCATGTGCTGGTCAGTCACTGATGTTACTAAAGGGGCCCGAACAGTTCCTGAAATTCAGGAAATGTCAAAGTTTAGTAAGAAAAGCAAGCTTCGTTATAACTGCGCCCGGGAACCAATCTTTCCTTTCATTCCAATGCATTGTGTTGTTATTGATTCGCTTCATTTGTTTTTGTGAATATCAGATGTTTTAATCAATTTGTTGATACGTGATCTGAAATTTTAGATGGAATTGATTCTAGTAAAACTAACATCAAAACCTATGAAGCCTTTACAATTCCTGCAAAAATAGGCTTCAGTGGTATGTCGACAAATATTCGAAAAATTTAAAATGGCGAGATTCGACAGGCCCAGAAAAAGTCCGCCTCTTCACTTACATGGATATTCCAGCACTTTTGGAAGCGAAGGAAAAACTACAGGAACTATGGACCGTCTTTTTCAAGTTAATCCAGGAGCTTAAGCATGCTAATGCAGCAATGTTTGCTGTACAAGCGAAACATTGGGTTGAATCATTTGTTTTCTTATACCAAGCAAAAGATGCTACACCATATATGCATGCATTTGCAATGCATGTACCAGAGTTCATGTCTTTGTACGGTGATGTTGTAGCATTTACTCAGCAAGGACTAGAGAAACACGATGAATACATCATGTTACAAGTAAATGTCAAGAATCGCTGGTCGCCAAATAAAAAACAACCATAGCGGTAAGTATAGGGAATGGTTATCAAAGAAAGGTGAGACAAGACATAGGGAATTGGGATGCATCAAGTGCAAGTGGGGGACTGCGATCTTACCTCCTTTCAATTTGCGCTTGCTTTTCTCCCCATGCCCCCTTTGTGCCCCTATTGTCCCCCTTTCCACCCTTAACTTTCATCAATTCCTCTTGATCTCCACCCTGCTTCCAGTACCCTATGCCCCTTCTCCTCTTTTTTTCCCTTGCCCTCCCTTATTTTTCTCTTCGTTTGCCTATCTTGGTCCTTCTATCTTTTTCTACCGCATTTTCCTCCCCCACTCTCTAGCTTTAACACCTTCACCCCCTCACTCTATTGCTCCTAACCCGTCCCTCCACCCCCTTGTTCTCCTCTCCCCCCACTCATCCTCTAGCGATTCTCGCTCCCAGACAGGCTATACCGCCCCTTCGTCGCTCTAGTCCTTGTGCCTCGCCCTTACTTACGGTTCCTCTCTTCTTTTACTCCTTATAAGGCTTTCCTCGTTCGTTATACTTTCCTGTTTCCCTTCTTTTTTTTCGACCCTGTCTCCACCCTTTCCTGGGTTCCGCTTTATTGGATCTTTCCGTGAGGCCCCTTGACCTACTCTCATAATCCAATACTCCCAAACCTTGAATAGAACTAGAATTCAAGGGGGGAACAAAGTGGATTGGACAAAACGCGCAAAGAGTAGAAAGATCCTGACACTGAGGGCAACGCCTAGAGCATGAGTTGTGTTAATATTGTTACGAATATCTGAGCACTTTACGGCTGATATACACTCGGCCTTTGCCCCCACCCCTCTTGCTTGCCCATCACACAATCCCTATAAGTGTTTGCCTGGTGTGGCATACATTCCTTGTAGGGCTATAAGGTTACTAAGGAGAAGCAAGTATTCTTTTACCGGAACCTGTGTCCCATGCTGGTTTGCTTTTTACACACTTTAGTAACTTGACTTTACTAACTGCTGTGCCACTACCTATTGTCCTCTCCGCTTGCTTTAACAGCTAATTTATAAAGCTTCCACTTTGCTGACGCGTCGTTGTCAAAAGTGGGGCGGGGTGGTGGTGTTTTAGTTAAGTGCCGTCAGGCGTCAGTGTAAA